GATGAAATTTCCTTCTGCCTCCTCGTGTAAATAACGCCCTCGCTAATTATAATTTCTTAATTAGACTTTAATTATGTCTCTTTGCGAAATTACCACGATGTGTTTGTGTTTTGTGTTTCGTGCACGAGGGGGCCGTTGACCGTGCTGCCTCTGTCGCCGTCGCATCGAATTAACAATGGCGCATTAACTACCCTCCGACTTTATAATTATAATTAGTCTATTGAAGCCGATGCCACGTTCTGACATTAACTCATCTTATGGACATGTTGAAAACACAAACTAGATGTAAGTGGCAGTTTGTGTAAGATGACATAAAAATATAAATACAAACATAGTCTTAAGGGGGTTGTTCTTTTTATCTTACAAAAAATGCAAGGTATTTTGTTTTTGTTTTCCTCGAAATGTATTTAACATAGAGACATGCGGTTTTTTTTAAACAAAAATTACAAAATCATAGAATATTACGAAATTTTCTTTTTCTTTTATTTCGCTGTCATTTTTTAATCAGGGGGCGACAAAGTCGGCCTTGCAAAATCGATCTCTTTTGCGGTGCCACAGATAAATCCGTTGCGCATCGCCTGAAACAAAAAAAAAGAAACTACGTTGAAGAAGAAGTTTGAATCCAGTCCCCGTACCAAAATAAAAGAAAAAAGCAAGAAGGAAAAAAATGGCAGCTATTTAAACAAAAAGTGTTAAAAAAGGCCTTGTTATTGGGGCAAGAAGCTTCGCAAAATTTTTTTGCGTAATGTTATCAAGTTGTTTGAGGTAGGGGAAGCAGGTATTGCAGTGGTGAACAAAATAAAAAAAAATGCAAGTCAATCCAACTTATAGTTTTTTTTTTAATTTGTGGCATCGCATTGAAAAAAGTCAATTTGAAAAAAACGTATTTAAAGTTTTTAATACAATGTACTAAATACACCATTTAATTTAATGTACTTGATACACCATGGTGTTCAAAGATGCTGACACATTAAAAAGGTCATGTGCATGAGGTATTATAATGAAAAAGAGAGCAGCTGGCATACAATAGCTTCGGAGCGATGAAAAAAACGATTTCAGAGGATCATAGATATAGAGATATATATATCTATAACTTCGTCAAAAAATAGATATTGAGATGATTTTTTTTTAAATAATTCTAAGGTTTTTAGCTTTCATAATATCAAAAAATCTCAAAATCGAAAAAAAATAAATAAAAACCGAACAACCCCCTTAAATTTATTTATCTTGACAGTTATTTTAATCGATAATAACTATTTCATCTCTACACTAATTATAGCCAACAACCTCTGACTGTAATTTATCAAATCAATATTTATTTTATCTAGTCCACTGTCCATTGAAAGTTCGAAACAAAATCAATTATTTCAGAAAAGTTAGCCACGTTCCAGTACGTAATGCACTTTCAGTATAGATTTTCAAGTTTCAGAATTTAATCAGCCGCCGCTTTCTGTATCGAGATGCAATTTAAAAACGTTAACTTTTTGTAAACTATTTTGATTTAGTTTGAAACAACTGAAGGATAAACGAAAATAAAAATTATCAATATAGAGAAGCATTTTCGATTTTTTGCGATTACTATAATTCACCCTACGGGAAGTTAATAATTTTGTTTGAACAAACGTGTTCAAATAAATTAATTTACAATGTTTTCGTATAATTAAATTGGTACAGCAACCTTGTTTTCCCTAAATTCTGTAATTATTTAGTATCAGTCATCAAATTGATTGTTAACTTCCCGTAGGGTAAGTTATTGTAATGGGCCGAAAATCGAAATTGAAATTTTTTACATTTCTCGACGTTTTGAAGGTTTCTGAACATTATGGCATACCTCAGAAAAAATGGATGTGTGTGTGTGTTTGTGTATGTATGTATGGATACAAATTTCCAGTCACGTTTTCGGGCGCACGGATCAACCGATTTGAATGGTTTAAAAAACATTCGATTCCTATTGATAGGGAGAAGAGCTGATTAGTTTTTGGCAAAGGCAGGTCCAGCCGTTTCGGAGATACAGAGCAAAGAGTGCCGAAAATAGAAATCGAGTTTTTGAGAGAACGGAGTATCCGATTTGAATGATCTATAACACATTCAATTAGTAATGATTGGGAGAAGTGTTTATTATGAGCTAAATATGTTAAAAATGACAGTTTTTGAGAGAAGTAAGCGTCCGATTTAAATGATTCAAAGAACTTTCTGCTTGTCTTAACAAAATAATTGAATTTGAAAAAAAAATTGTTTCAACTTTTTTTTTCAAAAAAAATTTTTTTGTATATCGAAAATAATTTAGATTTTATTTTTAATTCTGACTATAGTTCTAATATACTTTAAACAAATAATTTCAACTTTGCAATTCAGTTTATATATATCTTATAAATATTCGACAATGTTACAATATTTATAATAATCTATTTGAAAACATTCAGTATTCCTCGAACATTTCATTACGGTACGGGATGTTCCAGCAATTTGCCTTAAGGCACGATGCCACTAGTTTTTTTTATCAAATTGTGTTGTTTTCAAGTTTTTATTTTCTACACCAATTGTTTTGTTATGAAACTATCAAGTATTTTAATATTTTACAATCCTGATTAAATGTGCAAGCTCTTAATAAAACTTGCCAATACATTTTAGTACATTTTTTTCAAAGGAGAGTTTCTGAAAGTCGACCGATTTTAAAAATGTTAAACTCAAAGTTTAACATAAAGTCTTAATTTTTGAAAACTTGGGGGCAATTGTATTATTATTTTTGACTGCAGTCAAAAGCTATTATTTACAATAATAGCTCCAAAGTTTAAATGAACAAAATTAATAAAAAGTAACCAGAATAACCGACAAATGGTCAAAGTTTTACCTAGGTTGCACTTAAAAACTTTTCAAACTATATGGAATATTTTTTTCCATAATAATTATATGACGTTGAATTGTGGGACACCCTATATATATATATATATATATATATATATATATATATACTAAGTTTTTCTACCAACTTTATTTAATAACGTTACAAGCAAAGTTGAGTCCCAAACGGACGTCCGTTCAAGTTAATAAGATAAATATCGGAAAAGCAGGAAAATTCGTTTAACTATTTTATTCTTACTTGTAACATCTGTGGTTACACGAAATAAAATTTATTTCATATAAAGTAATAGTATAAATATAATTATTTGAGAAAATTGGCTGTAGTATAAGAATTGAGAAAGTAAATTAAATAGAATAAATAAAACATACGTAAGATAAAATTATTTCCTTCTGTTTCATAATTTTTCAGAGAAAATATCAAGTCGCAAAATGTATCAAGCTTATGAGAGAGTCTGGCGTATAGTGTATTGCAAATCTATCTTATTATAAATTATAATCAATATGATTGTTAAAAAAATTAATTAATTTAACACGTTAATCGTCATGTCAGTCATATGTATCTGACGCTAAGAAGATCTACATGAGCCTACATATATGTGTGACTTAAAAATTAGTTTTTTGTAGAAATTAGTGTGTCTGGGAATTTCTTTTTCTTGATACTAAATTTTTAACTAAACTAGTTGGTATTGGTATTTAGCCTTGAGGCAAGTTACATGAACTTCCCGATATGTGTAAATAATCGACTTAATCAATAATAAACAAATCAATTTATGAGTGATTACAAGTATTCCGAGAGGATTTATTACACACAATTGAAAACGAACGAACATGTTAAGTCGGAGTATTTTCTAAGAGCAAATTTTCACAAATCAATAATTTTTGTGATTGAACCAGTTTTCGTAGGACGTTAATGGTTCAGTATGTTCATTAAGACCAAGTAATCTATCGTCATACAAACGTCAACAAAATTACTCATTTTCTCAAATTTTGATGAATTTTTAAAATTAAACTACTTGTCGTAAGGCCGCAATATTTCAGTAATTCTATAAGGCCATGATATACATCGCCAAAGAAAGTCATAAAAATCGGCTTAAATTTTTTTTTCAACAGTTAATTACAAGAAAACGGCTCGGTAGATTTTCACCTAAAACTAATCTGTATCATTCCCAACTAATATCTCTCGAACAGTTTTTAATTTTTTAAAATCGATTCGGTAGAATGAGCTTAAATATGGACGAAAAGTTTAACACTCTTTTTCAAATTACAAAGAAACGGCTCGGCAGATCGTCTCACATAACTTTCAAACTATAGTGCTCATTGAGATACATCGAATGGCTTTTAAATTTCTGAAATCGGCTCTGGCGTTTTTGAGCAAACGTCGATCAAAGGTCTAATTTTGACAAATGCCAAAATAACGATACTAATTTTTGCAAACTTTGTTGAATTTTTAAAGCTAAACGAGTTGTCGTAGGGCTGTAATATGTTAGTATGATCTAGAAGACTGTGATATCTACCGTCAAAAAAATAATAATAAAAATCGTCGAATTTTTTTTATTAACTTTATCGCAAGAAAATGGCCCGGCCGATCTTTACTAAAAACTAAACAGCACGATTCCCAACCAATATCTTTCGAACGGTTTTTGAATTTTCAGAATCGATTCAGAATTGCGGGCTAAAACGTGGACGAAAAATTTTTCTGCGATTTAGAAAGAAACGGCTCGGGCGATCGTCACACAAAACTTAGAAACGCTAGTCCTCATGGCGATACATCAAATGGCTTTTAAATTTTTGAAATCGGTGAAGCCGTTTTTGAGAAAACGTCGATTTGGAGCAAAAAATCTGTTCACATTCACGCACACACACACACACACACACATTTTTTTCAAATTTGGTCTCATTCGATTCAGGATGGCTTGAAACGTCAAGAAAACATAAAATTAGCGAATCTGATTTTTTGATGAAAACATAAACTTCTCCTTCGTGAAGTTAATTATATAATAAAGTTACTAATTAAAGTTTTCTGACATCATCGTGGCGATTAATGTGTAAACTATAACTATAATACCTTTAGTAGATACACTCGTGTTATTAGGTATTACAAAAATTATTCTATTAAGAATATATATCAAATTGAAAAAATGAGAAAAAGGTTTACTATGATGTGTATACTTTATTAATTTTTGATATATAATACTACTTTTCTGTTTCTATTTTCAGCGAGTGTGAGGAGGACTGCATCGACTTCCAGGGCCATTCGGTGGCCCATGGCCTTCTGTACGTGCCCGGCCCTGGAGTATGCTCCTTGTGCGTATGCTACCATAGTGAACCTTTGTGGTGCAAGGCGATCTACTGTGATCCACCATACGTAAGATATATATATATATATATATATATATATATATATATATATATTGGGGTCATCCTGAAAATGGTCATTTTCCAATTTCCTTGCTCCAAATAGATAAAAAACAATTCTCTGAAAGATTTAGCTCTTAATATTAACGTTTAGATAGAGCGCAATTCAATCAAAGTTCTGTATGGAAATAGCATGGAATTTTTTTACAAAAATCTCCTTATCTATAGGAATCGAATGTTTTTTGAACCATTCAAATCGGTTGATCCGTGCGCCCGAAAACGTGGACGAAAAAATGCGGACATACAAAACACACACACACACATCCATTTAGTTTCTGAGGTATGCCAGTAAAATGTTCAGAAATCTTCAAAACGTCGAGAAATGCAAAAATTTTCATTTTCGATTTTCGGCCCATTACTATAACAACCCTACGGGAAGTTAATAAATAAATTCGATTAATTTTTAACAACTTCCAAAATAATAAAACAATTTAAAATCTTGATAAGAAATTATGCAAATAGAGCTATTTCGATTATTATTATTCTCTTTTCATTTCTTTACTATTCCTTTTCTCCAGATCCCTAACTTTAAAGTTTAAAGAAGCATCTATGCGTATTTTTCTTTATTATTATATATTACACATATTTATCTTCATAATCGTAAACAGTTTGTCTATCGTAATGGATTCTTGAGCAACATTGAAAATATCAGTTCAGGTGTTCCTCAGGGATCCATTCTTGGTCCACAACTATTTATTATTTTTATTAATGACATATCTGATATTATTAGCTGGCCACATTTATTATTTGCAGATGATCTCAAACTATATCTCAAAATAAATTCTATTGATGACTGCTTATTATTACAGTATCAACTTGACTCTTTCCACTCTTGGTGTGTCTATAATAAATTACATTTAAATATATCAAAGTGCAAGATTCTTAGTTTTTCACATAAGCGCGTTCCAATACATTTTGATTATAAAATTTCTAACACCAGCATTGATAGATGTAATAAAATTTCAGATTTAGGAGTTTTATTTGATTCTGGTTTGTTTTTCACGGATCATTTAACTGATATTTGTAATAGAACGCATAAATCTTTAGGTTTGATACTGAGAAATTGTAAACAATTCAATTCTAACAATGCACTTCTTTGCATGTACTATTCTAGTGTAGGTTCAAAATTAGAATATGATTCGATTATTTGGTATCCTCATCAAATCAACAACTCTGATGCGATAGAGAAGGTTCAGCGAAAATTTCTGAAATATCTTTATTATAAAACATATAAAATTTACCCTGAACGTGGCTTTGACCACAACACTTTATTAAAAGAATTTGGTATTCCTTCCCTTGCCTCACGTCGATTTATCTGTACAATTATGTTCTTATTTAAACTTTGCAATAATTCTATAGACTGTCCTCTTATTCTCAATCAACTATCCTTTAATGTTCCAAGGCTATCTACGCGATCACAATTATTTTTCAATTATCCTACTCTACTCCTAAATCTAATTCTCTCTTAAATTCGCCTATTTTACTTATGTCCTCTAACTTTAACTTTAACTCAATTAATAATGAAATAGATATTTAACAACACTTCACATAATAATCGAATAATCTCCATCTGCACAAGTTAACCTTTTTATTTTATTTTCAAATATCTCATCATTATTTTATCTTATTCTGTTTATAAATAATATTGTTATATTCTGCATTATATGTAATTTTATGTCAAGCATTATATGTTAATAACTATATATTGTGATTTTGTATATATTTTAATTGTTATTCATTATGTAAAATAATTGTACTTTTCAGTCCTCTTGAAATCTGTGGGCTATATATTTAAAATAAATAAATAAATAAATAATTTTTTTTTCGTATATAATTTTTTTCGATATCTCTACATTTATCATAGATATATAATTTCTCCAGTTGGTTTTTTCTATCCCCAACTATCCACTTCACCAGATCCCTGCTAATCTTGTCTATTTCCAACTCTTGCCTTTACTTTTCATCGTCTATACATCTGTTTCAATTTTCTATTTCCATTTTCTATTTCCCAGTTCTGCAAGAATTTCCGGGTGGGCGAGCGCTGCTGCGAGTTCGAGTGTCTCGATCCTCCGGGCGAGGACGACATGTACCAGGCGAGGCTCCGGAAAAGGGCAGAGGTGCTCGCCAACAGTTCAAACGCCTCCTTTGCGCCCCCAAATTTAAATAGGACTTACAATCTGGCGATCATTCTGCAGATTTTAGTCGGATTCTTTCTCAATATGGTTCTGCACAGGCACACGCTGTGATAGGTAAGGTGAAAGTCATTTTGAAGATTCAAGTCATTTTGAATCGTTTGGGACCGAAATTGAAAAAAAAAGAGTGCCCGTAAGGTTCACACGCTTTGAAGTAAAACTTATTTACTACTGTACAAGATGGTATTTAAGTAAAAATAAATACATCATATAACAATTTTGAATAATGTTTATCAGTAATATGGTAACACTCGTGATGCACACATTTATTAGTGCCGACCATTACATATATTTATATAATAATAAATTATAAATTTATTTATAGCATTAAAAATATGTATAATATTTAAAAACAACATTGTAATTAGAGTCATACTTCAAATATGACATGATCGGTTTGTCATTGTAATTAGCATTTGGAAAGAAACCTTTATTAGAGAAATGAAGTAATTGCTGATTAATAATTCTAACTAGTAGGTGTATGGCATCCTTAAGGCAAATTGCTGGAACTTCCCGTACCGTAACGTAATGTTAGAGAATACTGAATGTTTTCAAATAGATTATTATAAATATTGTAACATTGTCTAATATTTATAAGAATTATATAGACTGAATTGCAAAGTTAAAATTATTTGTTCAAAGTATATTAGAACTTTAGTCAGAAATAAAAATAAAATCTGAATTATTTTCGATATACAAAAAAATACTAACAAAAAAAAATGATACAAATTTTTTTTTCCAAAACTAATTATTTTGTTAAAACAAGCTGAAAGTTCTTTGAATCATTCAAATCGGACGCTTAGTTTTCTTCAAAACTGCCATTTTTTGCACTTTTAGCTATGTATCTCCGAAACCGCTGGACCTGCCTTTGCCAAAAACTAATGATCACTTTTCCCAATCACTACTAATTTAATGTTTTTAGATCAAATCGGATGCTCAGTTCACTCAAAAACTCGATTTCTATTTTGACGCCTTTGCTGCGTATCTCCGTAACGGCTGGACCTGCCTCTGCCAAAAACTAATCAGCTCATCTCCCTATTAGTAGTAATCGAATGTTTTTTGAACCATTCAAATCGGTTGATCCGTGCGCCCGAAAACGTGATTGGAAATTTGTTTCCATACATACATACACACACACATCCATTTTTTCTGAGATATGCCAAAATGTTCAGAAACCTTTAAAACGTCGAGAAATGTAAAAATTTTCAATTTCGATTTTCGGCCCATTACAATAACTTACCCTACGGGAAGTTAAAAATTCTAAATCTAATAATACTTGTAAATATTCTAAATATTATAAATTCTATAATATTCGTTCACATAGTGGATTATGTTAAACAACGCCTAAACAAAGATTATTTTTACAATTTCACTCATCATGCAATAATTGTGTTTGAAGAACTTCATGTAATTAAAATTAACATACATTCATTGACTGCTTGTTTTTTTTTCTTTTTCGATAGCGATAAAGTCTCATTCTTTGAACAGCTGTAATATCTGTCTTGCTCAAAATATATTTTCCATATTAATAACTTCAAAGATTTATAGGAACTATGAATAATATAGAAATAATTTCTAATCAATGAACTTACGTTTAATACACGGCACGAATGTTTAATTCGTTTTATTATTTTCAAGGAATAGGGTAAAATATTCCTCTGATTCAGGCATTTTTCATTAAATCAAGATTTCCTTGTTGATATCAGTACGCATACAACGACAGATCTCTATTCACATACACGACGACTAATCACAATCGACCCGTATAGAAATGATATCATCGAGAGCGAATGACGAATCATTGGCACTCGACTCTTATCTTATCTGCCGTAACGCACTTCCGTTGCATTTGTACGGATTTACACCCTAGTCGCGCCTAAAGAAGTTTTACTTCAATAATATATGTAATGATGCACATACCTTATGATGTATTACGTAATTATAATTTTGTTAATTAATCAGAGGTATGGATATGTGTGTGTTTGTATTTATCATCAATGATTTTATTTTCCCTTATATATTTATATATGTATTTATCATTTTTTTTAGGTTCAGCAGCCACATTCAATTTCGGCTATTCGCAATCTCTTCAGCTATACGCATAAAATTAGGTAAAAATCAAAATATAGATAATAATAATAATAATAATAATGAATAAACTTCACAATTTTATCTGTATTTCATAAATTTTATAAGAAGGAAACTCAGCCAAAAGTAAAACTCTCTCTCTATATTGAGGATATAATATAAATGCAGGAAAAACATTTATATTCTATGCTTTTTATTACTTTTTTATACTTTTTATTCCCACTTTGTAATTCTTTATTCAATTATTTAATTAATTAATTAATTTATTTATTTATTCGTAGGTAAGTCGAAAGCAGAAAACTATTATTTTCATTTTATTATATTTTATATATTAGGTTTTATGCTATTCGGATTTTATACACTCTATACTTTATGTATTTTCTATACTAACTTATTTAATTCAATTATTTGTTTACCAAAAATTTTCTATGCTTATTTAACTTATTTATTTATTTAACAAAAATAAAACTTTTTTCGAATTATATGTTAGTCAGTTTCGAAATTATTTCAATCTTACTTATATATCTTTTTAAATAATTCTAGATTTTTTTTAAATAAACAAGACCTTCATTCAATTATGTATTATATAATTTCTAAAGTTCAAATAAAAAATTTGTTTTGTATATTATCATTTTCAAAAATGAGCAAATAAGTGAATTTATCATTCTCAAAATTAAATTTCAAAAAACTTTCTTCAATTTATACTTATTTTATATCATTTCATCTTTTTTCGTGAATTTTCATTATATCCCAAATTCTCTAAGTAGATTTTATACGCGCAAAAAATAAAATAAAGGAACTAATTCAAAACAAATTTAAAAAAAAAATACGAAAGTTCTAGTGATATTTAAAGCATAATAGAATATATTTTTTAGATAATAAAATATTGAAAAAAAATCTTGCATGTGATGAGCTTTAAAAAAATGATTATTACAATCTTGTAGATAATTATATATATATATATATATATATATATAATAATAAAACATTTTACAAACATTCATACAATTGTTAAATAAAAATACAAGTTAATACACTAATTGAAAGAATGTTGTCACAAAAACATGTTTATAGAATACAAAATTATTTTCATTTAATTATTTGGTCTTTCAAAAATTAATTGTTATTAAATCAAAAGATAACTAAAATTTTAATTTTCATGTTTTGTACCATTTTATGACATTAATTAGAAGAATACGTAACTATAACGTAACAAAAACCGAATCGAGTTACGTGTTAGTAACCGATTTCAAAAGAGTTTTAATATTTTAGTGCTATTGTTTTAAGGCAAGACAATCAATTTATGACAAATACTTCGCAACAACAGCGTAACATTTTATTTACTTCATGATATTAATCAACAAGATTAATATTTATTAATCAAAATTAGAATTCTTAACCTCAACATCAAAAATCGAAATAATTTTATTTTTTAATAATACTTACTGTTGTTAGAATAATTTTAATTAAAGTTATTATTTCAAAAATTGACAAAATTCGACAAAGTACATAACTAAAACGTAACTGAAACGTAACTTGATCATGAGATCGTGTTACGTATAGTAATGAAAAATTGAACAATAATAATCGAAATAGTTGTATTTGAATAATTTATTTTCAAAATTGTTCTAATTTTGAATGGTGTTATTATTATTGAAGTTGTTAAAAATTAATGGATTTTATTTATTTTATTATATCAATTAGCAAAGTACGTAGCTGTAACGTAACACTCTCTTAACATAGAAATCAAATGTTTTACGATATTTTTTTTAAATATATATATATATATATATATATATATATATATATAAACATTATATATATATATATATATATTATATGAAACATTATATATATATATATATATATATATATATATATATATATATAATGTTTTATATATTTTTGTGACATAATTCTTTCGCCTTGTACATACATAAACTTGTCCTCTTAGGTGCTTTAAAAATTTTAATAAAAAATTTAAAATAAAACATATATAAAAACGTATCATGAATATAGTGAAAAATATTTTATCTAAAAAATTTAGATTGTAATTTATTTAAATCTAAAATCTATCTTTAATGGTTTCAAAGGAAGTTGATAAATTAAGCTTGTTATGGTAAATGAGAAGGATAAAGCTTTTTGTTAATTAAATAAATAAAAAAATGTACTTAATTTATTGAGTATTAGTAAAATTAATTTTATAGCAATGTATTTTATTGATTTCTAAAAAGTTGTTTTAAAAGTTTTAATCAAATATTACTCGCTTCTAGAATTTTAAAAGTAGTGACAAAAATTTATCCATAAATTTCATAAGATATTAAAATATTTATATATAGATAGATATATTAAATAAATAATATTACTACAAGAGCTTAGCTTTGTTGTATTATGTTAAAATATTACATCCTCGAAAAGCAACTTTTCATCGATGAACAAATCCATATATTGTGCTCTTTGATGAAAAGTTCTTTTCCTTTACCAATTTAAAATTCTAAATCTAAAAAAACAATGACCACTATATAACTTCAACGACTAGTCATACCGATACTAATTTATTGTTATTCGTGTAAGCTTTGTATGCTTGTTTTTATTAAATGTGTTATATTTAGTATTAAGAACAATTGACCAATGTATATTATTGAGAAAAATCAACCGTTGTTATTAGAATTTAATGTGTTACAAAATGTTATGCCATCCATTGATTATCTTTGCAAAATATAAATACACTTCTGAATATCTTGATGGGTTGTTATTATTGAAATGTGAAAATGAAAATAAGATGATAGGGAAAAAGTATGTCTGTTGTACGATTCTATGATTTCTGGCATTTTGTTAATATAACATTATGGTTTAAATATACTACTCATCAGTATATATATATTATATCTGTAACTTAAACAGCCATCTCAAATTTAGTCGTTTGGGATTTTGTTAAAACTTGCTCGAACTAAATTTGAATCGATTGGACTTAATTTGATTTAGAATTGATATTTGTGTAGGATTTATGTAGGAACAAAGACTTTAAAATATTATAGGCCTATGAGAAATAGTTTAATTGTTGTTAGTAGAAATATAATGGAATGAAACGAATCAACAGGCTGATACACAAGAAGATTTATTTGGTAAATAAAAAATGTTTGATTTGAAGAAAACTAAAATTTATATATATATATATATATATATATATGTATAGATTAATCTTGTTATACATATATAAAATATGATTCAATCAAAATTCTTCATTCAACTAACAAAAGAATAAAAAAAGTGCAGAGTTATTAACTAAAGATTACATTGCTCTTCGAAAATGTGAACTACACACACTAATATATATATATATATATATATATATATATAAACTTACAAAGACCAACCCATGTCTGGGATTTTAATAAAGACATAAATATAAGCACCTTCACATATTAATTATTGTTAGTCGTGCATTGAAAAATGATCAATCGGTTAGAAGAAGATACACGACAAGATATATTTGGTATTTTATAACAATATTATTTTATTATATTTTGGTATATTTTAATTAACTTCTGATGTAACAAATACTTGAAATTACTCATATTCTTGTAAACTTATAATAAATACTAAGCAATCAAAATTCTTCATCTAACTTGAAGAAAGAATGAAACATTTTCTTTATTAATTAAATTTCTTTACTTAAGTAAAGAATTAATAACTATATAGAGTTGATAGTCAAAACAAATATCTACAAGAAGTGGTTTCATTATTGTTCGTCGTGTGTTGAAAGATGATTAATCGGTTAGAAGAAGATACACGAGAATATGTATTTGCTATTGAATTTACCTTATTGAATAATCTTGTTATATATATATATATATATATATATATATATATATATCATCATATCATATATCATTCATCAGTGTTCATAATGCATCGCTATTAAAAAATAAATTACACAAATTTAGTGTTCAATAAATTTTACATCATTAATTAATTTTTTCTGTTGTTTTTCCTGGTTTGAGTACTGAATGATGACACACATCAAGTGTCGAAACGTTTAATGAAATAAATAATTTTTCTATTTAATCCTTTTTTTTTTAATTTGACGATTGGGCTGCAAATATATTCTAAATATATATATTTATAGTTGGTCAAAGAATTTTGATTCTTATATATATATATATATATATATATAATAAATAATGAAGAGACAAAATTCTTCGACCAACTATAAAAGAAAGAATAAGATAAAGCGACTAACCTTTAGTTATAAGCTCTTCGAAGATTTGAACAAACACAAAATTTTTAAAGTTTCATATTGTATATCCTTTCAAATTTCATATTGTTCTTGTTTTGTGCACCAAATTATTCTAAAGACTCTCAAATATGATTTTTAAAGTCTTTTTAACTTTTTGAAAGAAATTAACCTTTGTATTTATACCTTTTCAAAATTTGCAAAGTAAACACATGGAACTTGTAAAGTAAATGCATAAACACTACTTTAAATCAAACTTAAGTTTAATAAAACGCTACAGCAACAGCAAAATTAAACGATACAGCAATTTAAGTTGCAGATATTTTATTAATTTGATTAAAAATTTAATTTCAATTTATGACCGTTGACAGCTCGGCAGCCATTTAACCTCTGTGTTTATACCTTTTGAAATAAATGCACAAACACTACTTTAAATCAAACTCAAGTTTAACAAATCGCACAATTGCTGATACAGCAATTTTAGTTGATAATATTCAAATATTTTATTTAAAAGTTTAATTTCAATTTATAACGGTTGACAGCTCGGCAGCCATTTAATTTGACAGGCCTGAAGTTATTTTATATTACCTTGACAGCACTGATTGTGCATTTGCGGCCATTTACACATAACCTATGTAATGTTTCTTGATTTTCTTTTGTGCCAGTTTTAGTTATTATATAAACAAATAAATTTCAAAATGTTTTCAAGACTTGTGTCAGGATTGTTAACAACCACGTAAGTTGCACAATTATTTAAATTATATTTATTTTTCTTGTTCTGTTGCACGCAGATTATTCTATCGTATTTGCTCAAGGTCACAGTTGAACTTTCATCAATAATTTGACATCTCGAAGTGTCAAATTCAAAACATTAATTTAGTTATTTGAAATAAAAGTATACGGCTAACGTTTAAATGTGATTTACCATCGCTTTTTTATTATCTTTTCTTTAAATCATGGGCGAGAAACTAATTAAAATCCAATTCGAACTTTTGCGTGCGAAATACGATTTCGAGGCTTCACGCCCCAAAACGTTAAGTTTCTTAAAAAACGATTATTTTCTCCTCCATGCCACTGCCGCCGCCGAGAAAAACTGGTGGCAAGTTATAAATGCATATGGACAAGTCGGTTATGTACCTTCTAATTATGTGACAACTGTTAAAGTGTCCCCATCGTTCTATCAACAATTCTTGGATACTTGCATCGAGTATTTAAATCAAACCGACGACGAAAGTTCTGTTGTTACTCAATATTTTGCAAAAGATGAGTTGATTAAAAGACTTCTTGAAAAGAAACGACAAGCTGAATTGACCATGCAAGATGATTACCCAGGTGGCTCTATTGACTTGACCTACAAGCCTACGGATAAAATTCATGACCCAAGAAATTATGCAAACCCTATGAGGGGACAAGGTGAATGTATTTATAATGCTGCTGAAAAAATTGGCTATGCGAATAAAAATGCAAACAGGAACGATGATTTAAGACCTGTTAAGTCTGAAATTAAACCGGATAAGTTAGAGAACATGCATAGAACCACGTCTAGTCCTGATTTAAGCCGTGCACAAAGTCAAGGTACTAATAAAAAAATGTCGGAGGATCCTGTGTCAGCGTTGCAACCCTTAGCGATATACAGACTTGTAGACTCTGTACGACAAAGTACAGATTTAAGTTTTAAATTAGCTAAAGTAGCTGTATCCACAGTTGTGTCGGAGTTACAAGATTTATTACCAGGTGCCCTTACACCTCATCTAGCTAGTGTTTTGTGGCATGCCAATGGCCCTTTGGATGTACCCGATTCCATGTTACTTGAAACATACGATGCCGAGAGGTTAAAGGTAATATTTGCTGAGTTAAATTCTTGTAAACAAGATGAACAACAGCGATCCTGGATGCTGCACGAAGACGAAGCTATAATTATGGAGTACATAACAGAAATGATACAAATTTTAACAAATGCTGATAACAAAATTAGTTGTCTAGTGATGTCTCAAGATGATTACGAGTGCATTGTTATGTTGATACAATATTACCAAATGGAAGTCAGGTGGTCCATAAGACAACTATTGTTAAAGGCTTTTGGTGTGGTTTGTAATTTAGATTTGATTGCGTTAAGAGTCATGTTAAGTTCTGTTTTACCTGTGGAGCTTGCACGAGACATGCAAGCTAATCCTAAAGACGCCCAACGTTTAAGATTCTCAGCTTTGTTGTTAACAATGGTGTTCTCAATGGGCGAACGCATGCCTTTCACACACTTTGATCAACTGGGTACAGACTTTATGTTATTTTTATTAAATATAATGCACTCACCGCCTGATACTGATGTTGAAGAAAGACTTCCTGATTTATTTTTAAACGTAATACTTGCGTACAACTTGCAATTCAGTTACAACGATACTGAGAATCACGTGATTGAAAGTTTGGAAGAACTACAAGTCTTGAGCATTTTCACAGAAAAACTTCTATTACTTTTGAATCGTGATGAGGATCCTGTACGAGTTTTTAAACACGAGCCTGCACCCAGTCACTCGGTGCTGAAATTGTTTATAGATATCTTCAGCAAGCCGACAAGTGCTCAGTTGTTTTATACGAATGATGTTAAGGCTCTGATAGATATTATAGTGAGACAATTGAGTGATTTGTCGCCTGAGGATAAAAAGAGGCAACAGTATTTGGAGTTGGTGAGGAGAGTCGTTAGGAATACTAATTATTCTGAGCATATGCATAGGCGTGATGATTTGTCCAGGATATTTACAAGGATATTTTGTGAAGAGGGAGAGGTTTCTATTCCCGATCAGCAGCTGGTTCGAGAGATATCGAATGAATTTCCACAATATTTTAAAGCGTAAAAAGAATATTTTTTATTGTGCCAAGCAGTATCATCTTTAATGTGGTTCAAACTTTCGAATCTCACTATTAAAGGAATTCAAAAATATTATTTTCGCTTCCAAAACTTATTTCTAAAGTTTACTATGTATTAAGAGTTATTAATTAGAATATTTCTTATATAATTATATATGAAAAATGTAGTTGCCAATTATATTGCTATTTTCAACCGAGTCACAAATTGCCAAAGTTCAAAGTCTTCTAGTGCAACTAATTTTAATCTTTTCACAATCATTTAGTTAGAGTTATTCATAAAAACAAATTTAATCTAAATTATGAGAAATGTCTATTTACTGTGCGATCAGGCGTATTTTACATATAAACAAGCAAGGAAGCATGCATCATCGAAGATTCTGTTATCATAAGATTCTTCCTTGCTTTGTTTATATGTAAAATATGCCTGATCGCACAGCAAATAGATAGACATTTTCATAATATTCACTGCCAATAAACAAGCATAAGAGAGCGTTGCCATGACAACGTTATTTTACGAGCTCTGTTACGGCAGAATTCACAATCATTTAGTTAGTTTTAGTAATTCATAAAAACCAATCTAATCTAATTACAATCACTTAATTAGTAATTATTAACATACATTAGTTGTAGATCTATTTTTGTGATATTTAAGATTAATAATATTAATACGAGAGCAACTATGAAATAAAATTTTGAATTTTGAACAATTAAATAATGGTACAAACACTTTACTTGAAAAGTTATACGATAAAATGAAAAATTATTGAATTTATAGATTTTTGTGAAAGAAATTGTACTATCAATGATCTTGTTATATCGAATTTGTTCATTATTACATTAAATATAGTAAACGTAATATTTATTTACGTTTTGAGATTATACAAAAGCAAATTTATAAAACTATAAAAGCTAGATATGTAGTTAATATATAATTTTATTTTACTTTTTTGGTAAATTTTAAGTCATTAGTTAATAATCGTACATTTTGTAGTAAAAATTAAAATTTATGAAATTATAGTAAAATATTAAGTACAAATTTTTACTATAATTTTCATAAATATATCTGCCTTGCATTAGGATCATTTTTTTAGCAATCTATTTGGTTTTTCAAAGAGCTTTAAAGTTACAGTCGAAATGTTACTAAATTATTTATATAAGATTTTACAATTATATATATTCATTTATATATAAATATATCATTTACAACCCTCAGTCCATAATATGATGTGATGTTTACCCGATTAATAAAAATGTTACGAAGAGCACATTTAAACAGTAAAAAGAAAATGTTTGCACAAATCTTTATAGATGATTGTTAATTTGATTTTAATGCCTCTCTATATGTAGTTAACAATATAATAAATCGAATTTAAAAATATTCATGTTTAAATTAATTTAATTGTTTTTTTTTAATTAAAAATGGTAAAGTTATTTTTAATTCCCTATTTGTACGTTTCGGCCCTTTATGTGTGTCATCATTCGCTACCTACAAAAATTTATGATTTTTTATGATTTACATACAAAAATTATCTTGATTGTTTTTTTTTTCAATTTGAAAATGGTAAATTTGTTTCCACTTTTTTATTTATACGTTTCGACACTTTATGTGTGTCATCATTCATTACATACAAAAATTTATGTTAAACAAGGAGTACAATTATTAAATTATTAAAAATAAATCTTTAAATTTAATAAGTAAAATTCAATAATAAAAGTAATAATATGTTATAAAATTAACTTCGAGTAAAATTTAAATGTAAATTTTTAAATTAAAAATATTAAAAATTTTAAGTAGAGAAATAAGATTATAATAATATTAAATTCTAATTCATGCGTGTTCCCTGATATTTTTTTTATATTTACTGTATGAAGACATCAAGTGTCGAAACTTATAAATGTGAAAATTAATTTAGTATATAAAAATTTTGTATAATTTAGAAAATTTTAGAAATAAATTTGTTCTGGAAATTTTGAAATTTGTTTGAACCGTATGAGTCAACTTTAAATATTAAAAATCTTAGTAGGGAATTCAAAAAAATTGTAATAAAATTATATTATTCATTTTTAAAATGTCTAATGATCATTTTTGTACAGACAAATACAATTTTTTCTTTACTTTTTCCTCTGTACCTCCAAATCCACTGGACCTGCCTTCCCAAAAATTTAACCATTTTGTCAATACAATTAAAATATATTTTGAATTATTCAAATTGGGTGTTCCCTCATCTCAAAAATTGAAATACCATTTTTGGCACTTTTTGCCCCGCTACTTCGAAAAAACGAATCAGCACGTTTTTTTATAAATAGGAATCTTATAAATTTGTATCATTCAAATCGGTTGAACCGTGTTCTCGAAATCGTCGACGAAAATTTGTATTCGCACATACACACACACATACATCAATTTTTTCTAAGGTATGCCAAAATGTTCAGAAACCTCTGAAACGTAAAGATATATAAAAATTTTCATTTTCGATTTTTTTGCGATTACTATAACTCACCCTACGGAAAATTAATAATTGGCTGCTAATTATATCAAATCTTGATATTTTCATCTTGATATTCAAAATGAAATCTATTCATTTCCAGTAGGTTGGTTGCTCCCCAGTTGCCTCAAGTGCTCCCGGCCAACACAATGCACTCCCTAGTGTCTTCAGCCCAAGCCCTAGTTCCAGTTCTACCGAATGCAGGAGGCCTATTTTCTTTAACATCGATTAGAACAAAAATTCGAATCCACTTCCCAAGGCCCAACGAGAGGAGGCGAGTGAAAAGACATGGCTGGGAATTCAGGATGTCGACGACTAATGGCAGGAGAGTCATCATGAGGAGGATTTTGAAAGGGCGTCATGTTTTAACACACTAGATAAATGATAACAATAGGTAGTTTAATTTTGATATTTAGGTAGAAATAAATTGTAAATGAAACGAGATTTTTAATTGTTGTTACTATAAAAGGTATAAAATTATTCCTGTTTGAATAAAAATTTTCTTGCAAATCAAATATTTTGCGATCTTATATATAAAAATGGAGCTCTCGATCAAATGATTCGGTAAAACTCGAAAACGGCTAAACCGATTTGGCCAGTCTTAGTCTTGAAAAATTCGTGCTAATCAGTAGGTTGTCGGAAAGGTGAGATATTATTTCAAAATCGCATAAAAACTTTACATTTTTAATTTGAAAATTTTTGTAAAAGCGTTATTTAAATAAAACAATGAACGGTGGCTAATACGTCAAATGTCAAACGTTTTTGACAGATGATGTTCAATTATGTTTAATAGGATGTTTTACGAGAATATTATTTAATTATGATTAAATTATAATTAGTAGTTTTGTTTGTAGTTTTATTTATACACAGAATACAAAATATTAACTTTTTTTAAATGTTAATATGAAAATGCATTTTTTGGCATATTTTTCTCAAACACGGTGCTCTGAAAGATCTCATTTGTATAATTATATACTTATTGGTATTTAAAAAACATTTTCTAGGTTATATTATTTTTTATTTGTTATTTTCAAATCAGAACCTAAATTTGGTATCGATCCAAGGGACACTTTGTCAAATAACATTTTCCCAGTTATAATTGTCCAGAATTTATTGAAGAATAAATAGTAATATATGAAGGTCTGGGGTTAAAAAGGTCCATCACCGATGTGTCAAAAATCAATAAAGTTAAGCATTGTTCAACAACAATATTTGAAAGTAGAGGAAAAAATAACCAGCTACAACCTTGATTTGAAAACGCTAATCTTTGAAATGGGGGAGATGAACGGTGATTTAGCATTAGTTAAAAATGTAATTATTTGTAAAATTTGTAAAATACCTTTAAAATTGTAATAAGCCTTTATACCTTTTTGCCACCTGCCCGTTTCAAGTTACCTCGCCTATAGGGTAAAAAGGTCTAGATAACAAATTTTTGAAAGACATCAGAAAAGCACATTTCTACAATGATGAAGGAGCTGTTTGTTGTGTTACAGTTGGTTTGGTTTTCACAATATAGTTGATATTTGCTCAAAGTCAAATTGGACCTTTGTGCTTCGCCCTGTTCTACATATATACTTTTCATTAAATTTACTTTAATTCATTGAATGTTACTTGAAACTGTTCAAAAAGCAGGTCAAGGAAGAAATACTTAATTCATTTTCTATTTCTACTCGCAAAAATTTGAAATTTTTTGTATAAGCTCAGTAGTATTATTTACAATTACACACAAAATCCAGAATCCAAAAAGAATCTGAAAAACTTTAAACGTAATCAATAAGTCGAAAGACCAAAAAAGACTTGGATGGTTTATACTATGTTTCCTATAGAAAGTGTATAAATCTTCCAGTTTGATTGTATTGACAAAATATAGACAAACTAATGGGGTTTATTGTTTTTATGATACTTCATTGTATATAGCATTCAAACAACACATCCTTATACACTTAAAGTATTAATATTTTTGATTCTCTAGAAATTGTTTAGAATATACCTTACTTAGCAAAACAACGTTTACCGTATATATATATATATATATATATATATATATATATATATATATATATAATCATTTACTTTGTGTGTTTACAGATTCAGTATTAATTGTGTATTCTTCACTAGCCGAAGACTCTGCATTTTCCAACTGATTCATGGGACGAGTGTCTTAAGCAAACCTCTTTTCTTTGTAACAATAATGTACTGAGTAAATATTTTCATAAACCCTCCATTAAAACCTGAACAATCATAATTTAATCATACATTATGTGTAGCGAATTTTATTATTAAGAATTATGCAAATATAAAGCAACCTATAGTTGAAATGCATATAAGAGTCTAATGCATATAAGCCTCGACTCGATTTGTTTTAATTTTTCAACTAAAATTCTGTGCAACATTATTGAAATAGGTTAACAATTAGGAATAATTACCTCTTATGATATATCTCCTTGAATGAATTATCTTTAATTGTTGGAATATATTTTAATCATCTTTGAGTGAATTTAGTATCCATTTTAAAGTGCACTCTTCCATGTCATCTCTATAATGTCCTGAACCAAATTATTTTCTTAAATCCTCCAATAACACCTAAAGAATCATAATTTAATTATACATTTTGTGTAGTCATTATTAAGAATTATGCAAAGATATAGAGAAACCTATAGTTGTATTGCAAACGGAGTATAATTATCTCTTATGATATTTTTCCTGATTTAACAGTAAATTCATAATAAATTTGAGGGGTAATGAAATATTATGCAAATATAGAGAACCATATAATTTTATTGCATAAAAGTCTAATAAGCTTCGACTTGATTTTTGTTTGTTTCTCAATTGAAATTTTGTGCAACATTATTCAATTAGGTTAACAACCGAGTATAATTACCTCTTATGATATATCTCCTGATTTAACAATTAATTCATGAGAAAATTATCTTTAATTGTTGGAATATATTTTAATTATTAAGTGAACTTAGTATCCATTTTAAAGTGTGCTCTTCCATGTCATCTCTATAATGGCCTGAATGAGTAGAATAATCCAAATATTTTCAAAAATCCTCCATTTAAACCTAAACAATCATAATTTAATTATACATTTTGTGTAGTCATTCTCATTATTAAGAATTATGCAAAGGTATAGAGAAACCTATAGTTGTATTGCAAACGGAGTATAATTATCTCTTATGATATTTTTCCTGATTTAATAATAAATTTGAGGGGTAATCAAATATTATGCAAATATAGAGAACCATATAATTTTATTGCATATAAGAGTGTAATAAGCCTGACTTGATTTTTGTTTGTTTCTCAATTGAAATTTTGTGCAACATTATTCAATTAGGTTAACAACCGAGTATAATTACCTCTTATGATATATTTCCTGATTTAACAATTAATTCATGAGAGAATTATCTTTAATTGTTGGAATATATTTTAATTATTAAGTAAACTTAGTATCCATTTTAAAGTGTGCTCTTCCATGTCATCTCTATAATGGCCTGAATGAGTAGAATAATCCAAATATTTTCAAAAATCCTCCATTAAAACCTAAACAATCATAATTCAATTATACATTTTGTGTAGTTATCCTTGTTATTAATATAATTATGTAAAGATAGTGAAACCTATAATCATATTGGAGATATGGGCTATTATGTATAGTTATCAAATGAATCAACAGATTTAAGAGAAGTAACCAATAGAACTAGATCAACTAGAAATAACCATTAAACATAAATTACTAATAAATCCTATAATAAATATAAAGGATAATTACCTCTTATGATATTTCTCCTGATTTAGTAAGGAAAGTAACTTTAAATGTTGGAATATATTTTATAGTGATAGTGTATTTATAACCAATTACTTAATATCTATTTTATTTGAATTTTAAGGTGGTGTCTTCAATGCCATTGATATGACAAAGTTATTACATCCTGAATGAGTAGAATAATCCAAATATTTTCTTAAATCCTTCTTTTAGGTTTTAACCTAAACAATCATAATTTAATCATACATTTCTGTATAGCAAATCTTATTATTAAAAATTATGCAAGGATATAGAGCAAAACCTCTATAGTTGTATTATAAAAAAGAGTTTAACACGTATTGAAAATTAGGTTTTTAAATTTAAAGTATAAATTTGTATACTATAGGTTTTATATTTTTTCTAAAAATGGAGGTTAAACTGACATGACATTTGACTGAAAAGTATTATGAAAAATATTCCAAATGCTTATATAAATATTATAATTATATGTTTAAGCAGTTAATACATACATTTTAATCGGTATTTATGATATCCTGATGTATTTATTGAAATATTTGCAGTTTTTATACAAACGAACGACATGTTTATTTATATTTGATGTTTTCTACCTAACTTCACAGCTTTCTGGTAAGATAAATTTAATTTTGACGTTTCAAACTGAAAGAATAACAAAAATTTTGTGGTTAGATATTAATATAAACTCAAATTTGCAAAAAAAATTGTAGAATTCGGTTTCCAAAAGTTTTATGCAAACTTATTGTACCAGGGATAATGTTTTTTAATCAATTTTACTTAGTGTCATTGTGTGGTTTTAACGAATTTATTTCAAATTGTTTGTTATTGTTTTGATTCTTTGAATCCATGACACTGGATGTTGTAATGTTTAATTACTACTAATTACTGGCTGTTATAGTGTTTAATTAGTGCGTTTAATTATGTTTTCACTAGTTCTTCACATAAATATAAAGTTTTACCCATAAAATTTAATCTAAATTCTAATAATGAATAAATTTGAGACCGGGGTTCTGATTACTCTCAGGGGCTCTTTCAGTCGCGGGAGCGACTACGCGAGTACCCTCCAATCTGCCTATATAAAGGGGTGTTAATGAGCGGGCGGCTCATTAGCGCGTCAGCTCTCGAACAGTAAACATCTCGCGCAGTGGTGCAGTGCAAGTGATCAAAGTGAACAGTAAATATTATTATTTTGAAACCAAGTAGTGTTTATAAAGTGTGTTCCGGTATGCAGTATATACTTATGAAAGGTACGAGCATTTATTTTTTATTATTTTGCATAACTATTATGTTTTATTAGCACAACAATTGACGCCGTTTGGTACTGATATGTAAACATTGTTTACATCTGTAAAAATGTCTTAGGCGTGCTTAATTGTTGTTTTATTATAAATTTATTACATGTTATTTAATATTATGGCACTTTTAGTCAATATTCATTGAATTTTTTACGTTTTTTTGCAATTTAAAATTTGGTGTTTTTGAAAAATTCAAGATGGCGGCCATAATATTTATGACAGTTATTAGCACAACAATTCACGCTGTTTGGTACTGATATGTAAACTATGTTTACATCTGTAAAAATGTCTTAGGCGTGTTTAATTGTTGAGTTATTATAATTTACTACATATTATTTAATATTATGGAAAATCTAAGATGG